CACACACACACACACTCACATACACATGCACATACATTCTCTTGTCTATTGATGGGGAGCGCCACCTGCTGGAAACTGGGTCCAGCGTCCCATGAACATTGTGAATAAGGCATCAACCGGGACCCCCCACACACACTCTCTTCGAGTTGTGTATAGCGAACATGACAAAACATACATACAACAGATTCACTACCTTACCCTTCCCGAACCACATAAACAAACGACCTACGGGCTGCACACCCGTGCCCTCACGGTAAGTCAATCAAACATCCCTTCTGGTGGGGAAAGAAAATCTTGGTCAGAACCTACCACTTCGCCTTCAGATTCCCCTTCTGAAGGAAGGAGTGGGAGATAACCCACTACTGATTCTGTCATGGTGAGTGTTGCTTTCGTATTCAAGGATCCCAAGCGAACCTTAGTCTGGTTTCCATCTTCCGCGTCGTTGTCAGAGTGAGATTCGTTAAATAACCCATTAGTGTAAATAGTACAGCGTTGCCGCTGCCTCACCCGTTTCTTCAGACACTAGGGGTGTCTCCCCATGAGAGTTGGGTCCCTCGGTGGGGGGTGGAGTCTTCTCGGGTACAGGCGATCTTGTCAGGGGCATAATCGGCGAGGGGGGGCGGGGGGGGAGGAGGGGGATAAGTCCTCCCCTTTTCCATTGTTGTTCTGGCCATCATCGATAGCTCTACATACGCCCCCCGTACCCGCCCCTTCCGATCGATCTGCTTGACATGAATGAGGAGAGAAATCCCCTCCTCCTCCTTCCTCCAAGGGAGGGTGTGTGTGGGTGTGTGTGTGTGTTTTTCCTCCCCTTTCTCATTGTTATTTTGACCATTATCGATAACCCGGCCTCTTTTGAACTTCTGTTTTTTAACCGTTATTTGTTAAAAAAAAGAAAAGAAAAAAAAAAGGGGGTTCTTCTTTGTACGACCTTGAGTTATCATCGTGAAACTACCGGCCGCAGGTGATTCTGGAATTTCGTTCATGTATCTCCTTCTGGATTCCAACACAGTAGAGTGATTTTGGCTGAAAGCCGCAGGGCTAAATTTACTAAGCCGCGATGTTCGTTGGATGCCCATCAGTGAAGGGACAGGACGGCCTCGGGCGCTTTGCCGTGCTGGACTATATTTACTACGGCCTCATTCCCTTCGCCGCGCTGGACTATGTACTATACTATGTATAGCCTCAAGTTTATGGACCAGCCCTCGTAGACGTGCCGAGGGCGCTTTTTTTGCACATGCAGCACGATCCGTCGGTTCCTCAGAGCAAGGCGCCCAACTGCTTGTGTGCCGTACCGGCGACGGCCGAACCGCCTAGTTTCTGGGTAACTGCCTGGACTTCAAACGGCCGTCAGATCACATCGGCGGTACAATCGAACGACAACAATCTTCTCTCCGCGAGAAGCTGGCTGCCTCCGAGAGCACCGTTCGATAGACGGCTATGGGTGATCTAGCGTCCAATGCGTGCCGTGAGACCCGGCATGTTAACTGACGGGGCAAAAAGAAAGAGAGCTGGAGAGGGATTAGCAGGCGGGCAGCGGTCGGGAGATCCGTTGAATAGAACTACGGTAGACAGGGGAAGTCCGACATGTGCCTTTTTGCGGAAACGAACAAATCAGCGGACAAGATTTGCTTTTTCAAAAATACAAAACCTCGATAAGCTGGGAGGCGGGGGTTAGAAGGCGGCAGGGCGGGCGGGGAGCTGAGGGCGGGAGCGCGGGGACGGGGGTGGCAACCCGATTTCGCGCGTCTTTTTCTTTCCGAAAGCGACGAGTGGGGAGATATGGAGCATGGACGTCGCACCAGCCGCCGAGCACGTCCGTGCCCGCTTTTTTTTTTTTTTTGCTTTGTCGGCTTCTCTTGTCGTTTGAATTGAACTATTGAACAACGCAAGATGGCGGGTTCACATTTCTTTCTCCCCCCACTTTCTTTGTGTTGCCCCCTCCTTGCGCAGGGGCCATGCTAATCTTCTCCGTATCGTTCCAAGTTTAACGGATGTCCGGGAAGGACAGCGAAACGGGTCTCGCGGGTCTGGCTGTGCCGCCGTTCTTCGGGACCACTAAGATCGCTAAGAAAGGGAGGTTGAATTCGAAGATCGTGCAAATCTTCGCTCGCAAAAAAGGCGGGGGCGAAAGAAAAAATATGCGTAGTTGATGTTTTTTTTTGTCGCCTTGTTGACAGCCCCGCCTTGATGATGCCTCGTCGTCATGTTATTCTCGCTAGAGACAGCGGGTTCGCAGATGAGGAGGAGTGTATTGGGTGGAACCGTAGAAGTTTATTGTTCCCGCTGAACGAGAGCATACTATCATCATCAACTTCTTCTCGGTGATGACGATGGCAGGTCGTCAAAGGACGCGGGAAGGTCTTCATCATTTGGGAAGTTGTTCCCGCCAAACTCAAATTAGCATTTGAGTTAACAAGTCGTCCCGACCGTTAAGACGCTCGACTCATGGCGGCAAGGATGATGACATGAGCTTTGCTGGCGTTGTAGCAATTTTCTTCACTCAAGGTACCCACCCACCCACCCACCCACCCACCCAACTATCCCCCACATCGATAGCTTCTAATAGTGTCCGAATCCTACCTACACTGTAGTTTGCTCTTCCTCCTTTCCCTTCCTCGTTTCTGTCCCCCTACCAGTACGGCCTTGAGGGACGAAGGGGCTAACCTCTCATTCACGTACGGAACTGACAGTTCAGGCCACATTCACACGAGTATCTGTTGGAGCACATCTGCTGCGATTGCGGTCAGATACATGATAGAAATTTCTAGCGCGAGTCTGTCCACAGATGGTCTCAACCCTCTTCGTCTTTTGTGTTCTCAGTGTCTCCGAGTCGGTGGTATGGGCTTGTTCCCGGGCTAGGTCCCACTTGCAGGAATTAAGAGATGCTGACCGTAGATAGCAAAGATCAACGGCCGAAATCTCCTAATTTGCGCGCGTGGGACCTTGCCCCCGGTGAATTGCGAGAAAGAAACGTCTTACCGAGAAGAAACTTTAGTGTATAGCGGACGTCAGCGCTTCGTCGTGCAACTGGGGGTCGCGCTGATGAACACTGTTGTTCCCCGACTACTTCGTGTAGTGATTGACATTCTGGTTTGCGCTGCTCAGCTAATGTCCAGGTTTCCTATCTTCTTCTTCCCTCACTCCGCCCCTCTCTCCTCTTGCCCTCCCCCTCCCTCCCTCCCTCCCTCCCTCCCTCCCTCCCTCCGTCGCTCCCTTCCTCCCTTCCCTCCCTCGATCTCTTCCTTGCCAGTTGAGCGATTTCACGTGGCTCTCGCCTCGGGCCAGGTATATCGCGATAAGCACAGCAAGAGTCTTTCTGTGGCTTGGCCCGTCGATCGAACCCAGGCTTCGTATGGGCCAGCTGACGTCTGACGCTCTGTACCGTTAGAGAGAAAAACAGTATGTGAGCCCGCGACTTAGCCTTTACATATATGTTTGGGATGAGGTAATGAGATTATTTGGCATCCACATTGCCCAGAGATACAAATGAACTGCCAGGTCTGGCAGCCCGAGTGCTCTCTCTGTGCTTACGTAAAGGGTTTTGCTTGACGAGTAGCGAGCTGCCACGTGTGACAACTCTAGGTGAGCGGCGAACTGCCACGTGTAATTTCGGCCGAGATCAGATGCATCGATTAAATATTCTCATGTCTGTTAGTACACTAATCATCTGGCCAATTGTATCTATCTAACACTCGCCGACCGGTGTGAAACACTGATGGTCTTGATTTCGTACGTGGCATGCAGTCGATTTCCAACTATGGACAGACGACCTTGACGACAGTGCTGTGCTGCCTCCTTGGCAGTCTTTTATTCTGTTCATGGCATCCATTTCATGCGCACTCTCTCTCTCTCTTTCTCTCACGCCTAGTATACCCTTGAACTCCATATGCTCTCTCATCCGCGATAACGTACGATACATGAAGCGCCCTTCTCTGCATTCCCTATCGCTTTCAACTCGATTCCCGTCCATCACCTTGATATATCTTTCCTCTCCGCTCTACCTGTGACTATCACTCTCAAGTGCTGCGTCTACCGTTTGTCCATTTTCTTTGCCACATTCTACGTTCTCCGTTTTTGTGATCTCTCTCCTCATCCCATGGTTTCACTGCATTCCATACTGAATTGAGCAGTCGACTAATTGAACAGCATGTCTCACTTGGAAATCTTATTATCCTTTTTAATTGACCTGACACCAGTGATAATCGATCTGGTGGATATCCATCCACTCCTGTCTAGGTTTGATCTGATTAAGGAAGGGAAGCTCAGTGTGTGCGCGCATGTGGGTGAGTGTGTGTATACTTCTGTCCGTGCGTGCGTGTGCTAGAGAGAGAGAGAGAGAGAGAGAGAGAGAGAGAGAGAGAGAGAGAGAGAGAGAGAGAGAGAGAGAGAGAGAGAGACTTTGTTTCGTTTCTTTGTGGATTGTTTTATGAATTTCGTTTTGCGCTTTATTTATTTGTGTGGATGATTGATGTGTTTCTTTGCAAGTGTTACTAAGAAATTGGATGAATGTGGCAGATGGAGGCCGCTGGGCTTATAACAGTGGAGGCCGTTCGCGAGCAGCTGGAGGTGCTAGGTCACACTGGTGTTCCAGATGCCATGATAGAGAGCTTTCTGCGAGAGCTGGCGATGTCGCCCGATCTTGTATGGGGCGTATCAGGCAGCTCTGCTCCTCCTGGTCCCTCTTCACCCGAGCGACGATCGGCACTGATGAGAAAATCGAAAAGCTCTGCATTTCCACTTCCAGTTTCTCCTTCCTGTTCTGATGCTTGCAATTTGGCCGTTCCTAGTACGATCGTGCGGCGGCGGGAACACCAGACAACGGCAGAGGTGGCAGTTACGTCGTCACGAGATCAAGGCGCTGATAACTTGGTATGTGGTATAGAGTCCGACCTGGCTGGCCTTCGATCAGTGGAGTGGACAAGGCGGCAGTGGGGAGCGAGTACGCCGGAGGATGACGATGAAGATTCCGGAGGTCACCAAGACGATCGCCGTCAGGGAAAGCGGTTCTCTTGCGAGCAAGACGATGTGAGCACTGTGGTGTTGGAGGGAGAAGATGCTCTCGACTACGACAGCGAGGATAGCGTGTCGGATTTTCGACTGAGAGGAGCAACTCCGCTATTTGCCAGAAAGGGGACGGTAGATGGTGGGAAAGGAGGTGGGGTCGGGGACACGGTTGGCAATAAGCGCAGGAGCTATGGCGCAGCAGCTGCAGAGTTAGGTCACGATGATGGTGAGAATGCAGAGGGGGTGGGAGGATGGATGGCAGGCCTCGGCCTCGACCGAGGCCGTCGTGATCGGCAGTCGGAGAAGCAGATCAAGATCGCCACCGAACTTGACGAGAGAACAGAGAGACCGCGAGGAGGAGAAGATGGGAGAGAGAAGTGGGTTGGGCTGATTAGCGGCGCACGGTTGGAAGGAGTACATGATGAGAGGAAGGGCTGCCAGACCAAGATCGCCACTGTGACGGAACTTAACGAGAGGAAAGAGAGAACTCAAGGAGGAGAATTTGTTGGGGGAGAACGACGGGTTGGGCTGAATGGCGGCGCACTGTTGGAAGGAGTGCACGAAGAGAGAAAGGACTGCCGCTCGGTGGCCATCACCGGATCGAGATTGCGAGAAGGTTATTGCTTGCAGGCCGAGGCTGCTGTGGTTGTGGATACGTGTCGCAGAGCAGTTGATGCTGCCACGAGGAGGGGTTTGGTGGACGGCGACCTGGGCAGCTTTGCTGGGATCTGGGGCAAGGATGGCAACGAGGGGGAACGTGCTTCGTCGGTGGGTACGACCAGAGCCGCTACGGTGAAGACGGTGGTAAATGCGGACGTCGCTAGCAATGCCGGCCTCGCCTCCTGCAACAGCAGTCGTGCTGGACCCTCTGCGCCAGTAGCTGCGAGTGTTGAGATGACGACCAACGTGAAAGAAGCTGATTCCAACCTGGTCAGTGACAGTTGCCTGTACGAAAAAGGCGGTAAGAACGAAGTTGTCTTTTTAAAAGCCAGGAAAGGCAATCTTGTTGATGATGGAAAGCCTGGAACTTCTTTCGCAGTCGCTGAAGATTGTCGAAAAACCGCTTGCGTGGATGACCACGGAGTCGGCTTTGGTGGGGTGGAGACGCAGGCTGAGTTGGGGATACCGTCACAGAAGAAGTCATCTGTCGACTCTTCAGTGTCCTCCTGCACGCGTGCAGCGCCGGCTTTGTTGGCGGCAGAGAACTGCCAGCAAGATGAAAGCTCGGCGGTTATGGCGGCGGCAGCAGCGCCGGGGTTCCAGCCCCCTCTGGACAACCACGCTTCGTCGTCGCCAGCGGCGTCAGATTCGCAGCTTTCGTTCGAGCTGCAATGTGGAAAGGGTCTTCGGCTACGACGAGAAAGGATTCGGAGGACTTACGGTCTGTCTCAGGAAGTGGACGATAGCGTGCTTGACTTGCTGATGACGCCCTGCCCCTCCTCCCCCTCCTCGTCTGGAGCAACCCCATCTTCGTCGCCCATTGCCGCAGTGCGACGGCATCGACCCATCAGTGACCGTCACACAGGTGGGCTCCTGCAACCCATCGGTTCTGTCGCTTCTCCTATTGCAACTGCTGCTCCCACCATTGTCTGTAATAACGATGAAGAAGCTTATGGCTATGGCGGGGAGCGTAAGAGCCGTCCACCGCATGTGGATTCGGGGTCAAGCAGTCCCTTGTTATGGTCGCAAGATGGTGCAATGCGACGACGTCGGCCCTGCCGCTCTCAGACCGAGCGCTTCCAACGTCCTTGTGCGACGACTTTTCCTCCTCCTCCTGATGCTGCGAGCGCTGATTCTACCCATGCCGATCTTAGAGACCGTGCGCGTAAGACAGTAGCCGCAGCTATGCTCAGACATCAGAGAATGACTGTAATACTGGGGGATGACGGGGATGGTGATGGAGATGACAGCGGTCGCAGGGACAGTATGAAAGATCTTCCTTCTTCCTCTTTGCCAGCACCAACTGTGATTGGAGGAAGCCGAGAAGAACCTGGAGCCGCAGGTGAGCCTTGTTTCTTCTTAGGTGCCCATCACAGTCGTAGTCGTCGTCGTCGTCAGTCTAACTCGTCGGACAATAGTCTTGCAAGTTCTCGTCTGCCTTTTACGTTTTATGACATGGCTATGGAAGAAATCAAAGAGAACCTTGCTTTCGCTGATGGGGTTGAAAATAGCCATCAGCCATCGCGTAAAAGAAGAGGATGTCGACAAACCAAAGAATTAGATCAAGAAGAACCAGAAGAAGAAGAAGCAGAAGATGCAGAAGAAGAGGAAGAAGAAGAAGAAGAAGAAGAAGAAGAAGAAGAAGAAGAAGAAGGAGGTAAACGACAAGAAGGTGGTGTTTTTTGTGATCGTGGCGCTGCAAAATGTATCTGTAAGAGCACTCAACTTAGTGATCCCCGCCCTCCCTTTCCTCTGGTCTTCTTCTGTGGGGTTTGTAGTAGCGGTTGTCGCGACTGTCATTTGCCTTCCAAGCCTGCTGCTGCTGCTGCTGCTACTCTCCCTTCGGCTGTTGACATCAACATCCCAGTCACAGCTGGTGGCAAACTGCCAAGCCGCAAGGGACGCCGGGTCTTGCAGCCTGTTGACGTCAATATCCCGCTGACAGCGGCGGCGGAGCGCTGCTACCGGGTCGCCGCCACGGTCGGCGGCAGCAGTGCGCAGAGCAGAAGTGGGGTAGTAGTAGACGGCGTGTGCCCCCACGGTAGAAGAAATGAAAATGACTTTGAAAGGGGTGACCATGCCTTGCGTCCTGAATGGAAATCAGGCCCGAAGGCTGGCTACAGCAATAACGATGACGATAAGGTTGCTGCTGTCAGTGGCAAACCGTTCGTAGGAGCCAGTAGCTGTACGAGTTGTTGTGGAGGTAGCGCTCGCTCTTCTTCCGGATTAGGAGGGCAATGGCAGGGCACGACTTGTTGGGGTAGCAGGGGTTGTCCGTGCTGCACAAAAGGTGGGCATTTCGACGGCGCTGCTAGTTGCTTGGGAAGTGTTCGTTGCACGAAGGGGTTGCAGTTTGGGGGAGGTGGTGATGTGTTTTCCAATGGACAACGGGGGAGAGTTGAGGGAGCGGAGACTTCGTCCATCCCCTTCTGCTCCCAGGGAGGGAGGAGCTATGGTGTCAGCGACGACGGCGGGGGTTGTTGTTGTTGTTGTTTCTGCACGCGTGACGCAGGGCGCGTTTCTGGTGGAGGCAAAGGCGGTGGCTTACATTTAAGGCGCCGGCGGTTATTCTGTGCGTCATCTACAAGGCCGGTTTCTCAGGCTCGCAGCGGCAGCAGCGCTGGTACCATTTTTGCCTCAGGGGCGGGAATGCCGCGGGTTGTAGAGTCATCTGGCAGTGGAGGGAATGCTGCAGGCCGCCGGCGATTGCATACGCCAGCCAATGATCGGCAAGATAGTACATCAAGTGGTGGCAATCCAGCTGCTGCTACAACAGGTGGTAGCGAACCTGCTAATCCGTCATGTGACGGTTATGGACCTGATCATCGTTCGCGTGATAATGCATTTGCAGCTGTGCTACACCCTGCTTGCCGCCGCAGCACCGGGGCATGCATGCGTGATGATGGTGGTCATCATAGCCGTCTTACGACGAGCAATCGTTGTGTCAGCGCAACGCAATCTGCTGTAGTAGGGGAAGGTGGCACCGTTGGTTGTGATGACAGTCGTTGTGACAAAGATAACCACTGTGGTGCAACGATTAGTTCTCGTCGAGGAATGGTCCATAAGTCGTCGCTGAATTCTGGGATGTTCTCGTCCTTGGCAGAGCCTGATGCAACCAAAGGAGAACAAGAGCATGCGGGGTTAGCGCGTGAAGGAGGAGCACCGTCGAACGCGGCATGTCATCAGGTGATGGAGCAGCGAGATGACCGTGGGAGAGTTTCTTCTCCAGGAGCTCCTCATCAACAGCATCGTAGTCTGTCGGCGAAGGAAGAGACGAAAAGAAATGATGAGCAGGAGGATGAAAGGTTGAGAGGGCAGGAGGAGGAGGAGGAGGAGGAGGGGAGGGGGCGGGATGGGAATCAGCAGCAGCGGTTGGCCATGGGCAGAGAGGAAGACGGTGGCAGGTATCTAGGGAACGCGGTTAGCAGCAACAGGAGGAGACAGCAGAGCTGTGAATTGGACCACAGGAGAAGAAGGTTAGGGGGGATCTTGCAGGAAGAAGCTGTTAGCCGGCGGTGGCGGCGAGGTTCTGCAAGAGGTAATGCTGCTGTCACGCAGGGTCTTTCGTCGGGCGACGTAGAGAACTTGACCATGATGGGCGACCAGGTGCAGAAGGTCACTCGTGCAGGTTGTTCAAGTGGGGCTGATCTTTCATCTCCCGCGAGCACCGCTGCTCGAGAAGCTGTGGTGTCCTGCAGATCTTCCATGTCCCACACACAGTCACGTGGTTCGTCCGTCCTTGGAACAGGATCTTCCCCCGTCAGACCAGGTTCATCCGTTGAACCAGGTTCAAGTGGAAGGACGTCGCGAGCTGATGAACGGGAGGCTCTTGGGTCCGGTTCCCCCGCTGCGTGCGACGGTCATCGAATCCACGCCGCGGCATATGCAACGGATGCAGAAGAAACCTTATCTGATAACGAGGTACGCTGTGTCCTTGCGGATTTGGGATGCCCCAAAGGTTTGATGCCATTCCCACGCCTGGGGAGGGTGGAGCAGCCATCGCTGAGTGTGCCAGAAGACGACCTGGAGGAACGCCGTAAGGAAGAGGGAGAAGACGAGGGGTTCTGGCCGTCCAAGAGGAATGCAGTGATTCCCGCCCGACACCGTGGTGGGAATTACCTGTCATCCGATGCCGATGCGGACGCCGATGTGGATGCAGATTCAGAATCTTACTCGTCGGATGCTGAGTCTCAGTCAGAGTCCTCTGCAGACTCGGATGGCGAGCGGGGGGTCTCTGACTCAGAGTCAGAGTCAGACCAAAATGATCGCGAGGATGGCTGCTCTAGGGAAGACGAGGAGGAAGGGCGGGCTTCAAATCGCAACTCCGCCGTCTTGGAATTACTCGATCGACGCGATTTGGCCCTTGACAGTCATTCTGTAAGGCAACAGCGGCCAGTTAGTGCTCCTAATAATAGTTCTTCGGGGGGGAATTGGAACAGTTCCCGGTCACATTCAAATTGCCAAACGGCGCTTAACGGTGGTAAAGGGGAAGCGGCCGTTAAAGAGCGGACGTCATTGCTGGCTGCTCAAGGAATGATGACGTTGCCTGGCTCGAAATCAACGGCTTGTCTGACAGAGAGGAGCAGGGCCAGCAGGTGTGAAAACAAACAGCCGGTGCAGGCCGGAAGTACCACACACTGCAGTCAGGTTGGTGGAACGAGAATGAACGGGGCGGCTAATAGTCAGGAAGAGACTGTGCTTGATGGGCATCCCCGACCTGAGACCGTTACTGCTACTGCAGATTATCAGAATCGCCCGTTGCAGTTGAGGGGCGGCAGGAGGGAGTTAGACGCCTCCCCCCAGGGAGGTGCTGTTGCCACCACCGATCGGAGACGCCAGGCCTCGACACAGGGAGAGGCTGCTGGCCGTTCGATGAACGATCGGAGACCCGAGTCCTCGACACAGGGAGAGGCTGGTGGCCGTTCGATGACCGACCAACCGAATGCGTGGATGGCGATGACGAACGAGTCAACGGCGGTGGATCCGTCCGTGCAACACACTGTTTTGGCTGGACAGCGGCAGGAGGGGAGGACGACTGTTCCCGACGAAAGATTTGGTAGCTCGACGACAAACTGTGACATCCACGGAGTTCCTTATTACCACGAGGCGGAACTTGTCGAACGATTGAACCTCAGTCTGACGCTCGGAAGGAAGGATCGTCGACCGTTATCACGCACTGAATCAGATTCGCCGCATGGGGGGGTGACACGTGGAGGTCGGGATAATGACAGTGAGATGGGACCAGGTCACTCGAGAAGACCTGGAGGGCTATTGGCTCAAGTTTCTGCGCAGGCGATCGACCGCAATGAGACCCGTGGAAGGGAAGACGCGAGCGTTTTGCCAGGAGAGAACTCCCTTCCAGCCAGCGGACGCGAGTGTCGAGGAGGGAACATGGTTGGCAAGGGTGCTGAGGAGGGAACATGGTTGCTTTCCGGAGGTTCACCTCGAGGGAGCGAGAAGTGGGATGATGACAATGCTTTAGGGTCAACGGTTGCTGCTGATTACGAGTGGAGGGCACGTGGCGGGAGAGGAGGAGGAGGAGGAGGAGGAGGAGGAGGAGGAGGAGGAGGTGGAGGAGGAGGGTTGCAGAGCCCTATGGGGATGGGAGAAGAGGGGGAGGGGCTTAGAAAGAAGTGGGTTTCTGCAGGACGCCCCAGCTCAAGATCGAGCGGAGCGGGTTCGACTACAGAGCCAGAGGGCGGGAGACGAGAGGAGAAGGCGGTGAAATTGTCCAGGGAGAAGGCGCAGGGAGAGCGAAGTCTGGACAGACTCCCGCGTCCCTTGGGGACGGTTGGAGCCACGACCAAACCGGGGAGAAGGAAAGCGAAAAAGGATTGGGTGTTTGAAACGGCGGCCAACGAGAACGAGGCGCACGAGGGGGAGATGCAGAGAGACGAGGAGGCAGAAGAAGCAAAGGAGCACAGGTCTGCTGACCGGCGTGGGTGGGAAAAACAGCGGCCAGTTAGCTGGTTTGATGCAGAAGAAGCTAAGGAAAGTTGTCAGTCGCGGGTACCCTCAGGAGGTGCGTTCTGCGTTCCCTTCCACAACCTTGTGTACCCTTACTACGACAAACTCTCTCTCCATCGCTTCCCTCTGTCACTGTTTTGTTGTTTATCGCTTTTGTTGGAATGCTGTGAACACTGTTGTCGCTGCTGTACTGTAGTGTTGCTCGCTCTTCGTTCGATGTACGCATGCATCCGTTTGACTGTCCATGCCAATCAAATCGCGGGGGTTAGGGTCAGCAGCCCGCACTGGTGTCATGATCGTGCTTGAGAGAGTAGCAACAACCTGGCAGTTTAAACCACCATGGCCCCCAACCGCGTCTAAAGGCTGCGGCGATGAGACCAGGATCATGCTCTCTGAGGACGAACACAGCACCAGTGAGGCTGGTGCTTGAGCTCGAGCACCACCGGACTATGTCCAAGTCTTTTTTTTGTTGTTGTTGAAACGACCCTCCTCCGGCAAGTGGTGCTGATAAAGGCAGACGCCACTAGCCTAAGGGGGGAGGGACTATGTCCAAGTCGATGTCAGACAGTGGGCAAACTGAACGGCACATGTCAGACAGTGGGAATTGAAAGGTCGGTATTAGACAGTGTCAAATTGAACGGTCGATATCAGGCGGAGGGTAAATTGGACGATCGATATTCTACCATGGATTCAAACCGGGATACCAGCAGGCGCCAGGTTCTCTAATAAACGCTTAAACAAACCTCCTTCCCCCGAACTGGTCATTATATCTGTATCTGTCTTGGAAATTACACTAAATACTGCTATAATGACCGCGCGTTGGGCTCGATGGAGGAAGGTATTCCCGTAGAGACTAGGCCTAGACCTAGAATCAGTGAGAATCGTATCCTGGAGACGGATCGAGCTCATGCTTAAGGCAACACAGAAATTGCTTGCAGTGTCGGTGTCCAGGTGCAATGAGGTGGTTGACTGCACACTATAAACAGGAAAACGGAAGATAAATAGAGATGGGTGGATGGACGGATCAAAATCGATCGTAGATAGTATCCATCTATCTATCTATCTATCTATCTATCTATCTATCTACGTATCTGTTTATCCATCTACGTATCTATAGATGTATAGATAGATAGATGGATAGATAGATAGATGGATAGATAGATAGATAGATAGATAGATGAATAGATAGGTAGATAGATAGATAGATGGACAGATAATGTATTTATTATTTATCTATGGACCTTGGTGGATCCATTCATCCATCCGTCCTGCTATCCAGCTATCCATCTACCTACCTACCTACCTACCTACCTACCTATCTATCTTTCTATCTATCGTTCTATCTATCGCTCTATCATTCTATCTATCTACCGTTCTATCGTTTTATCTATCTAATCCCCCTCTCTATCCGTCTATCCATCTATCTATCCGTCCATCTGTCTAACTATGCCGATGGTTGGCATTGGGGGGGCTGGGCGTGGGGAGCGGATGTCCTCTCTCCCCTTTCTTTCTCTCTTTCCTCCCTTTCTTTCTTCTTGACCCTCTCCCCTTTGTCTCCCTCATGGGCAGGCTAAATCCTCATTCGCTATGTCGCTCAGTGCATGTCTTGATTCCTGAAGCATTTCTTTACTGCGCAGATTGTGTGTAGTGCCAAATGGGATCAGTGGAATGTCATCATTAATGAGGGGTTACGAAGGCCCATCATGAGGGGTCACCTTTAAGTAAGGAAAGCATGGACGGACCAATGATGAGAGACTGTAATGAGCCCGTATGCAGTTGATCGGCCATGACTCGTATTTATATCCAAAATTGAAATGCTGCTAACTTCTTTCCATACATGCTAATGCAATGGGCGGGATCAAATTTTCAAGCAAAAAGAAGGTCAATTAGTTATTATTTGACTTTCTCGAAATTTAACTCCATGACGGTCAAGATGGCTGACACCGCTGATTAGTAAGAAATTAATACATGTTTCATATCAAATTAAATTAGGATTACATCTGTATTTATAGGAGTCATGGCTTTTCACTCGTTGATTGTAGTTCTCGCATGTGCGTAGTCCTTTGTACAATTCACCATATGGTTAGTTTCCCCTGATTGATCGGCCCTTGCAACGCTGATGATCTTTTTTTTTTCTTTTTAATGGAGCATTTCTTGGCTTATGCATGTCATCCTTGCGCAGGGGCATGCTAATCTTCTCTGTATCATTCCCATTTTAACGGATGCCCCGAAATACTTTTTTTTTTTTGACGGCGATTCGACTTTTTTTTTTTTGACGGCGATTCGACTTTTTTTTTTTTTTTTTGACGGCGAGTCGACGGCGACCTTTGTCAATTACGAGTGATCTTTAAGGAAGTCTTTTTTTTTTTTTTTTAATTTTCTGTTGATGTTGAAGACCGCCAGGGCCTGGGACTCTGCGACTGACTTTAGCCCGTAAAGTCGGGCTTTCAGAGAAATGAGCCCGATTCCTGGCAATATCTGCAAACACAACAATTTAATTCATGTCGTTCGTGGACATTCTTTTTTGCTTTCGTTTTTGAAAAAGTCAATTTGTCGCCAATGCTGGGAAAACGTCCCCAGCCCCCACATCAATTGGTGTGGGCCCATGGAAGAAGCAAGGCATCACCGGCCGAGCTCAGACATTCATATGTTCTTATATTTACTCCATTCATTCATTGCTTAAAAACATAAAAAAGTAGAAAAAAAAAATCGAACTGATTTTGAGACAGCCTCCTCCTCCACCAGGGTAGTCCCCAGTGTAATAGGTCCACCTTCTGGTGTTAGAATCAGTTTGAGGCTCTAGGCGTATTAGTGGGGACCACCACTGATGTCCACCTTTTTTGCCTTGAGGGTGCGAATTCCGGCCCGATTATTAATCAATGGGCTCTTCACTCCTAACTCGCACTTAGAGGCTCAGGCTTATTAGTGGGGACCACCATTGAAGCTCTTATCAACTTGATAAAAACGTTGTTGAATTTCCATTTTCTCCCTTTTAAAACGGGCGATGGCCATGAGATACGATCAGCGAACTGACCGGCCCTACGTTTTTTTTTTTTTTTGAAGATGAATGGAGTTCGGTTCAACTGTAGTATTTTCTACTCGTCTGTTTACCGTGGAGCTCGAGCTCAGGGCTGTATTTCAACAGTTCAGGGGTGCAAGAACTGAGCCAGGCCAGTTGGTGTTGTCGATTTTGTTTTGTGGATTTGAAACTGGTGCATTGGTTTGTTGTGACCTTTCTTTTTTGTTTTCTTGAAATTGGGTATGTTGTGGACTTTTCCAGGGGGTCAACGGGAATCAGCACGTGGAAAAAGCGGCGAGAGGCATTTGCCGACCAAGCCAATGGTGAAACCCTCCTCGGCTCAGGGCTCTACAACCCTTGTACGGAAGGGGAAGGTCGACCGAGTGGCCATGTAAGTGCTGTCAAACTGAAGTCAAGAATTTAGGGAAGTCGAGAACTTAGGGAACTCAAGGGTGAAGGTCTAGATAACCATATTACAATGTCCAACATTTTTATGTTCCCCGCCTCCCCCTCCAAAAAAAAAACAAAAAAAAAACTGAAGGGAAGATGGACAACTGTTGAAAGTGTTTGCTGCCCCTGAACTTGACCCCTGATCTACCGTCTTCCCCCGAACACAATTTGCCCTCATTTTGGCGGCACCGGATCGGAAAGAGAGCTTGTGTGCATTCATTATCAGGGCGTGTTGTTTTCGGGGGAAGACGGAAGTAGTGCACTGCTACACATGTGAGTACCCATCGGGGCACATTACTTATTTCCAGGTGTCCCTCCCGTTGTCAAATGATGAACAAACCCTAACATTTTTTTTATATATTTTTTTACATCAATTGTATTCAGTAGGGTTCGGACTCCCAACTCTCTGATCAGTATGACAAGCTATGTAGCAAACAAAATTCTGGGTCCTTGTCTTTGATGTAAAGGGACGCTGGACCTGGCTTCCAGCAGGTGCAGCTCCCCACCAATGGAACGGAGCTGTCCGCAAACAGGGTACGCGGAGGGGGTGTCTGCTCTTACCAGCACCTCCCCCATGCCCGTCGGCGATGTTTAAAAAA